AAAAAAAAAAAAAAGAGAGAGAGAGAGAGACATGCTGGTTGTTATTTTCTGACAGGCCAATAATAATTTTATCCTATAGAAACATAGGTACAAACAGATTGAAAATATAACCATTATTTGGGGAAATGCTTTTTTCTTACTCATGTAGGGTTATGAGACTGATAAATATATATTAAATGAAAGAATCAGCATAGAAAACTATTTGTAGTATAAGTTAATTTATTATTTATTTATTTATTTATTTTTTAGAGACAGAGTCTCACTTTGTCACCCTTGGTAGAGTGTTGTGGCGTCACAGCTCACAGCAACCTCCAGCTCTTGGGCTTAGGCGATTCTTTTGCCTCAGCCTCCTGAGGAACTGGGACTAGAGGTGCCCGCCACAATGCCTAGCTATTTTTTTGTTGTAGTTTGGCCAGGGCTGAGTTCAAACCCACCACCCTTGGTATATGGGGCTGGTGCCCTAGTCACTGAGCCATAGGCACTGCCCAGTATAACTTAATTTAGTGAAAATTATTGAACAACTTGAGGAAATAGGCTAGTGTTTATGAGCCACGGTAAAATTAAGAAAAAATTAAAAAAAATTTTTATTTATAATAATAAAATTTTTAAAATTTATTTTGCTAAATGAGAAAGGTAATTATTAGCTGTAAAGATACCACTTTTGTAAATATAGGCTTTGTAAAACTTGTTAGTTTTCTAGCGTCTTATTTGATTAAAATTTTTTCAGTTTTGTGGTGCCTGTGGCTAAGTGAGTAGGGTGTCAGCCCCATATACTGAGGATGGTGAGTTCAAACCCAGCCCTGGCCAAACTGCAATAATAAAATAAATAAAATAAAATAAACTTAGTTTGGGTGGCGCCTGTGGCTCAAAGGAGTAAGGCACTGGCCCCATATGCTGGAGGTGGCGGGTTCAAACCCAGCCCTGGCCAAAAAAAAAAAAAATTTTTTTTCAGTTTTGGGGGAAACTTTGAAATAAATTCCCCAAAATAATGTTAAATTGAAGGATACTTTAAAAACACCTTGGGGGCTGTGCCTGTGGCTCAGTGGGTAGGGCGCCAGCCCCATATAATGAGGGTGGTGGGTTTGAACCCAGCCCCTGCCCTGACCAAACTGCAACAATAACAAAAAAATACCTGGGTGTTGTGGCAGGCGCCTTTAGTCCTAGCTACTTGGGAGGCTGAGGCAGTAGAATCACCTAAGCCTAAGAGCTAGAGGTTGCTGGGAGCTGTGATGCCATGGCACTCTACCAAGGGTGACAAAGTGAGACTCTGTCTCTTAAAAAATAAAAAAATAAAAACACTTTGGAAGTCAGAAGTAACTGACATGCAAAGAAGTAAACTTAAGTTATGCTGTTATCGGCGGCACCTGTGGCTCAAGGAGTAGGGCGCCAGCTCCATGTACTGGAGGTGGTGGGTTCAAACCCAACCCTGGCCAAAAACTGCAAAAAAAAAAAAAATCAAAAACAAAGTTATGCTGTTATCTCTTATGAAGATTTTAATTAATCTTTAATTAATTTTCTTTTTGATACTTAGCATATCAAACTGGAGAAGCCTTGAAATGTTATTTTATAAAGCAATGATACCTAAGAAATCACATTTCTTTCTTTCTTTTTTTTTTTTTTAAAGATAGAGTCTTGGCTTGGCACCTATGGCTCAAGTGGCTAAAGGCACCAGCCACATACACCTAAGGTGGTGGGTTTGAATCCAGCCCGGGCAATGACGGCTGCAACTAAAAAATAGCCGGGCGTTGTGGCAGGCGCCTGTGGTCCCAGCTACTTGGGAGGCTGAGGCAGGAGACTCGCTTGAGCCCAGGAGTTGGAGGTTGCT